TTACCTACTCATGTAGAATAATATACTTTGTGGAGTTAGAGATATTAATATTTGTTTACTTATATTTGAATATTATCCTGGGATTAGGTTTGGGAAGTCCGGGGGGGTGGGGGGTGGGTTTTCTTACAGTATTGTGTAATATTTGTGATGTTTTTTTCTATGATGAAAAATAATAAAAATTTTATATTGAAAAAAAAAAGATATAAATAATGAACTACCTGCAGTTTCTGATACATTTCTGTATTGATCACTTTGACTTCCTCCAGCTGTAGCCGCAGATTTATAAGAGTGTCTTGCTTTTCATGTATATCTTTCTCCAATAACTTCATGGCAAGTTCTATCTCATGCTTCATACCAACCTGGACCATCAATTCGTTCTCTATATCCTACAGAAGATAAAAACAAACAAGCCCACGTATTCCCAAAATCTTGTGTTTAATTTTAGACTGAACGGACTCTAACAAAACAGCATGGTGGATGATTGACAACTGCATGCACCCACCTAAGTACGGGAAGTCCTTGCAATATAACTGTAATGGAGCCTGCCCTTTGCAGTCATATGTCATAACAGTCGTAAAATGGGTCAGTCATGTTACCAAAACGATTTTACAAACTTTTTTGCAATAGTTGTTAAGCAAATCACGGTGGCCGTTAAGTGAACCAATGGTTTGTTATGAGCACAGTTTTGCTGAAAACTGGAAATAAGTAAGTTTGTGGCAAACTTGTCATAAAATACAGTCACATAACTGCAAGACACTGCAAACAGCTGCATATGCAATTGTGTTGCCGAGCGTCCAAAATTCAGTCATGTGACCACGGAGGAGGCCCAACTGTCAGAACTTTAAATCTGAGTCATAAAAGTTCCCTGTCTTTTAGGTCAGTGGTAACTCTGAACGATCACCAAGAGACCCATAGTAAGTTAAGGACTACCTGTATGTAACTGATTGAAGCCAAGGAATGTGCAACAGTAGCCATTCACAATTTATATAACACCCACTCACTTGTCTTAACTGTGATTCTTCTCGAAGCTGTCTGTGTGCTTCATTATACATTTCATCCAGGCTTTGTCGGGAATGTTTATATGTCTGAAGTTCTGCTTCGGCATCTACTTTATTCATCTACAAAGAAAATAAGGAAAATTATTGTACTTAAAAAACTTTGGTATTCAGAAAGAGACCTCTTCCTAGA